GGCTAACAACCTGGACCTCATTATGAAATCAGCACCGTAAGCCAGCACATTACTGTGAGACCTGAGCTGCCCGTCATGGGCTGGGTGTTACCTGATTAACTAATATATAACATTGGACACGCTCGCACAGTTATATGCTACCATCAAATGAAATGTGTGGGCAGGCCATTGGTCCCGAACACGTCCTGAAACTCTAAAAGTAAGTCACATGAAGAAGAAACCACAGTGTCCACAGGTCCCTGTTTCTGCTACTTTCCCTTCTCTCTCCCAGCCTGCGCTGATGCCTCTTGGGTGGTTCTTGTGATCAGAAGCTGAGGAAGAGGAAAGAAAAGTCTGGCTACAGGTGTTCCTGTGCAGTGCTCTGACACTGTGTTTGGACTGGATAGCAACGGAACCCAGCCCTTTCTGAGCCATTCCTACAGAAAGGTGGAGAGAAGCCCTCCTGCTGGCAGAACTCAGAACAGTGAGGTGTGAGCATGAAAGTGTTGGCATCCCGGGGGGAATGATTCCCGGGGGTAACCTCAGCAAAAAAAAAAAAAAAAAAAAAAAAAAATGTTTTAATAAGCGCAGGGATGGACGAGCCATTTGTGCGTGCTAGGTAGCTGTTCCATGGATTCAATCAATGCTCAGCAGTGCCACGTGGCAAGGATGAAGATTATGTATGGACTTGTAGCATGAACTATATTCTGCAAGGCAATCCTGACTACGGTGCGGTAGAGACTAATGTTGAATGCCTTATATGGCCTCTTTCCCGCAGGGGAATGAAGTCGGCTACCTAATGGCAGGTTGCTTACGTGGGTCTACTACCACACAGGATGGGATGGTGTTTTATTCCTGCCAGTACAGATTCTTGTTTCGAATATAGGTTTTCTTCCCTGCATTTAATGCTGTGCCAAAATTGCTATCTACAGACTGCAAAATGTTTTGTCCTCTGCCGTAGTGTCTTGCATAGTATTGCTTTCGAGCAAAGAACTGAGTTCACAGCAAAATAAACTTGATAAAGTCTCATGCTCGTGAATTCCATGGGTCACAGCATGTTCCCACCATCCTGAATCAGCTGGACTGACAGAAGGAAGGGCTGTCTTTTGAAGACTCTTTTCTAGTCCCAGTGAGAGAACAGCACTCCGAAGGGTTGGGCAAGGTTCTCCAGAAGACTTTATCTGCTTCTAGAATGTTTGGGATGTTTGTTCCCCTGTTACAAGGGAGGCTGACCCTGGTTACCAAAGGAAAGTTCAACTCCTCCACAGTGTTGGTAAAAAAGAAAATACCTGCCGTATAGGAAATCTCTTACAGCTTCTGCTATTATTATGCCCTATGGTTATGCTTGCTAGAAAATGATATCCCTCCCCAAGTAGGACCTTTAATGGCCCAGACCATTTAGGTCTGAAGTGTCAGGTCCTTCACTAGATGAGAGCCCAACCAGTGCTTGCTGAAGGCAGAAAGATCCAGAATGAGTAATGGACGTTTGTAGTTAGACATAGCCAGCTGTGGCCATATGACCAGTGACAGACGTGAGCACTGTAACTGACATACATATCTCCATGAACTCATATGGCTATAAACATATGCTTATGTATATTTACACATACACTTCTGTTTTACTCCTTATTCCACTGTCATAAGGAAATTTATTTCATAGCCTTAAAGCATCATTAAACATTTTTAAAGTGTTTTTCTTTTTATTTGTATCTTTCAAATTTCATAAATACATATGATTTGGAAACGTTCAGCCCACATTACCTTTCCTTGTTCCCACTCCCACTGAGCCACTTTTTCCCCAACTAGCCCCTATTCTGCTTTCTGAAGCGTGAATCTAATTAATCTTAATCTTAATCAATAAAAACCACAATTCAGATAAAGGGGCAAAACCTGGGAGATCAAAGAACCTGGAGCAGAAACTAGTTGCTTCCTTCCTCTCTCATGCCTCTGTCCAAAGGGCTCCTGTCCACACCCTACCTTATCACTTCTGTCTCTGCCTCCCAAGTACTGAGATTAAAGGCGTGCACCACCCCCGCCCCCACGTCTCTGGTTAACTCTGGCTAGCTCTACCCCCTAATCTCCAGGCAAGCTTCATTTCTCAGAACACAATCAAAATAGCACACAACTTTCTAATGTATTTTTGAAAGCAGGGACGAGAGTGATGGCTCAGTAGTTAAGAGCTGCACTTCCAGAGGGGCCATTGTTATTCTAACCAGTATGGTTGGGAATGGGTGTCTTCTGTTTCGCATGTCAGCCTTGATAGAGATTGGTTTGATTTGCCAAACTTTTGAAAAGCTATCTCTGCTCTATAGATCTTCCCAGTTGACTTTCTCTTTCTATTATTTCCTTCTGTATGCTCCTCCGGGCTTGGTCTACTGCCTTGTCTAGGTTCTTGTGCTGAATTGCAGATTGTTGATCTGAGACTTTAATTCTTTCCTGCCATTAGCATCTGGTGCTCTAACTTTACATGTTAGCCCTGCTGTGTCTGCCTATGCCAAACAAAGTGGATTTACTACATTTCTCTCTGACGTGTAGTATACGCCAGGATTGGTGATAAAGCAAAGATTAAAAATTTGCTTAGCAAATCATAGGAAATATTTTTGGATTCTACACACAGTAGTAGATGAGAAGTTTCTTCCATATGACTTGGTTAAGCAGAAGGCTGAGAACAAGACAAACAGGCTCTATTTTCAGCTCCCTCCAGCTCATGAAGTATACTCTAAGGACAGTTTTTGACCATCCTCCAGGATTCACTATCTTATTTTAGTTTGCTCTTTGTTTGCTGTTTATTTTGAGACAGAGTTTAACTATCACCCCGGATCTGAACTCACTGTATAACTCACACTGACCTCAGACTTGCAGCAGGCTTCCTCTCCATGTCTGGCCCCAAACCATGAAAAATCATTACCATCCAAGAACTCTGCCATCTAGTTCACCAACAACACCCCCAGAGCTGAAAACAATATTTTAAATGTTTTCCTCTTTTTTAATTTTTAAATTTTTCTTTAAATGTATGGTGTGCTTCTCTCAATATAATCACACACTACCAAACTTTACTGTAATTATGCATTCTATATGCCATCGAGCCCTTACAATATAAGTTACTATGTAAGAAAATAACTTGACTACATATTTCTGATGACTTACAGTGTAAGGACAAGTTAACTGCAAAAAAAAAAAAACTTTGAAATTCATTTGTAATTTCTAAGATAAAAAATCAGTAACTATGTTATATTTTCTTGACTCACGATGCTATGACTAAGAATGGGAAGAAAACACAATAAGACGATTTAACTGGGAACCGTGCTGCTAAGACTGAATTAGAAAAAGCAATAGCAACACTTGTCTATTAAAAGAAAAGAGTATGTTTTCCAGTTTTTGTCTCGAAGTGGAAGAGGAACAGAGGGAAGAAAATGAACCTCATGTGCGAAGTACCTCTACAGTCATGATTTCCAACTCTGTTTTGCCAGGGCACACTTGAGGAATGGATTCCACAAGCCACTGTGAGCCTAATCCAACTTAAGGTTAGGAGGACAAGAAATAATTCAAAGGGACAATGCCACACAAAAACAACAAGGTCAAATCCACGGGCCAAATTTGGGCAGTTTGAGCAATAAAAGATAATTATTACTGTAAGCCGGGCGGTGGTGGCACTGTAGTGCATTAAGACACATTGGATGTATGAAAAAGAGTCATGTGTCCATATTAACAAAAATGCTTAAAATTGAATAAAGATGATCAATTGAATAGCCTGTATTAGCTTTGAGTCCTTTAATCAAAAGTGTTATTTGGATTCACTTACCACCAGTGAGAAATACAGACTTTATAAGTATTAAACACGTAATGCTTTCTGGCTCAGAGAAGGATGGCAACAGAATGTTCTCTTAAGCTGTGACAAAGACATTAAGAATGGCCAAATCTCAGTCTGATGCGCTCTCAAATGTCCATAGCCTGTTTATTTTCAATAAGATGAAAAAAATTGCAGGATATCATTCAACTCAAAAGTTTCTATAGCAAGCTGTTATAGAATATCTGAATTATTAAAATCTTGTCAAGTGAGAAGGTATTTAAATATATATGTATTTATATGATATATATTTTCAGAGTTAAAATTCAAAATCCAAGTGACCAACCCAAATGGTAGAGAGTGCCGCTTCTAGAACAGAACAAAGGCATGTGCATAAATCTCACCCAGGGACTTGCCTCCGTTCTACAAAATGTAGATCAAGCTCTGAAATTCGAAGTTGATCGCAGAGAAATGGCAGTAATTCTATGCGCACTTCACAGATTTAGAAACAAGTCGGTGTTCTATTACAAGGTATGAAATTCAAATTCCAGAAGAATATAAGTAGCATAATGCTATTTCAAGTTTGACTCAAGAATCTCTGCATTGGAATTCTTAGTAAGATAGGTATTTGTCTATGTTTGAACGTTTGGGTTTTTGGTTTAACTCAAAAGTGAGTTTTCGGCCTTAATTCGCGTTTGTAAACGGGCGGGGTTGAGGGTGGGATTGCCAAGGGCTCCAATACTCTCCTACTTCTAATTTCGCCATTCTGCAATCCTGCTGGACGTAACCCGAGATCCATGCAGCGGCCCCGCCCCCCAGCTCTCCGAGTCCCCCCCCATCTTTAAGACTGCGCATGCGCGAACGTGGCGTCGCCCGTGCCGCTCTCCCCCACCCCGGAGGGTCTTGAGCGTCGTCGTGACGTCTGTGGAGTTTCAAAGCATTTTCAAAATGTCTCCCGACGGTTACGCGACGACCCTGGGACGCGCTAGCCTGTGGGGAAGGGCGGGGCGCCGCTCGGTGGCGGGGTCCTCCTCTGGGGACCCCCGAGGCCTCAGCCACCGGGCGGGTCCGACGGCGCCGCCGCTCGACTTCCGGGACCCGGAGCAGGAAGGAAACGCCCCGGCCGCCCGCGACGGGGCGGGGCCGGCCTGTGCGCCCCGAGGGGCTCCGTAGGGAACCGCGTCCCGGGAGCTGTAGATTCCGGTCTGTTGTCGCCTCTGATAAACGTGCTGAGGTCTGCAGATCCCGAAGTCTGCATCTGGGGGGGACAGAGGATGTGCAGCCTGCCAGGAGCGGTCTGGACCAGCGCAGCCTCTTCCCAACCCTAGGTCGCACCTGCCCTGACCTTCAGGAGTTGCCTTTTGCCTGTGGAGGTCACAAAGCCTTGTTGTATTTGATGAGATGAAAGTTAACGCTCCACGGATTGGCCATACGTGGATACTGTGACGTGCTTTTACATCTTTTTTTGATTTTCGAGACAGGGTTTCTCTGTGGCTTTGGAGCCTGTCCTGGAACTAGCTCTGTAGACCAGGCTGGTCTCGCCTGGTCTCGAACTCACAGAGATCCGCCTGCCTCTGCCTCCCGAGTGCTGGGATTAAAGGCGTGTGCCACCATCGCCCGGCCGTGCTTTTACATCTTTAACTTGAAAACAAAAGTGCCGGAAAACACAGTTTAGACTTTTAACTTAAAATAAAATGAATTTATTTAACCCCAGTACATTATTTTTTAAACTAGTGCTCTTAACACATCTGTGTTTCTTACTTGGGATAAGCCCACACACACCAGAGTTTTATTTCTATGGGTTTCATAAACAATAGTTAGTAGTTACGTGCCATCTATCATAAACCCTGAGCGAAGGAGTTTTGAAAATCTGAGTCTTCATCACAAGCCCATGGTTGGCTGTGTTCAGCACCTTTTCCATGGGTGGAAACTGAGCTGATGGGACAGTAAGCAACCCCATCCATCTAACCCCAGAACCTTTGTAATTTATCTCCATATGCCGGCATTATCCACTCCTGAGACCTGTAAATATTTCATTTCTAAATTCAAGTTTAGTATTTACCCAAATGTGTAGGGCCCGGGTCTACCCTTGTTCCTGGGATTCATCTTTTTTTTTAATTTTTTTTTAATATTTATTATGTATACAATATTCTGTCTGTGTGTCTGACTGCAGGCCAGAAGAGGGCCCCAGACCCCATTACAGATGGTTGTGAGCCACCATGTGGTTGCTGAGAATTGAAATCAGGACCTTTGGAAGAGGAGGCAATGCTCTTAACCTCTGAGCCATCTCTCCAGCCCCCGTGGGATTCATCTTGAGGACAGTTTCTGGTCAGCTAACTAAAGCATTCTGTTTGTTCCTGTGCTCCCTCTGCCCCGCCTGGTGATTAACTGTAGGGCATTGTTTACTCCATCTTGGGTGTGGCAATTTCCCATCTGCCTGGGGTGGGGGGAACTTCTTGTGCTAGGTATAAAGGATTTATAAAGGATTTCCCCAAGTTGAATAAACGGCATTCGGCTGATTTCCTTTCGAATGACCCAGGTCTCTTGTGTGTTCTTTCAATCTCCAGGCCCTTGCCCGACTTGCCCGGAAGTACAGTAGCGTGCGAACTGTACCGAGTGGGTAGTAACACAGAATCAGGTGTTACAATTGGAAGCACCCCTGGGATCATCAGACCCATCTGCGAGACCGGGAAGTAGGATCCCTGAGAGGTTGCCCTCGGAAGGCTGGCCAGCAGGTAAGAAATTGAGTTGTGGGGGTGTATTGGTAATGGGTGCAAGTAATTCTGTTCCAGTGTTAAGGGGCTGGTTGACAAGCCAATTGTTAGTTCTTTTGGAGAAACAAGGCACCGGTATTAAAGTTGAGACAGCACAAGAGATCTTTAAGACAGTTTTAGAGTTTAGTCTCTAGTTTCTACATGCAGGAAGTTTTAAAACTACTGATTGGGAACAGGTAAAGGCTGACCTTCAAAAGAGCGAGGGCCAGAAGAATTCCCCACAGTGATATTTTCACTATGGCGCTTAGTCAGAGATGCTCTTCTCAGTGATGATGTCAAAGTAAAAGAGCAATTAGAGAATTTGAACAAAACCCTTGAGGAGATTCAGGAAGAATCTGTGAGTTCTATTAAGAGTTTTGAGGAGCAGGAAGTTAAGAGTATTAGTAGGGATATAGAAGAGGAAGAAGAAATTTTAGAAAAGGAGATCACACTGATAAAAAGTTAGAAAAAGAGGAAAGGAAGGAAGCAAACAGATGTCTCCATGAGACCTCCGCCTCAAAAAACATTCCTTGACACTTCAAATCCTTGTACTACTGCTTCTGCCCTTATAGACTTAGAGGCGGAAATCCGAGAGATCCAGAACAGATTAATCTAAGCAGAGAGGCAGATTTATCCTGCTGTGGAAATTATTGATCCGCAAGAACAGAGGATCAGGCAACATAACCCCCTGGCCGTTAAGGATATTAAGCAGTTAAAAGAAGCAGTTATGGACTATGGAGCTCATGCTCCTTTCACTATAGCTTTATTGGAATCCTTTGCAGAACTCAACCTTACACCCAGTGACTGGATGCAGCTTTGCAGGGCTTGTCTTTCATGAGGAGAGTATTTGTTATGGAGAGGTGAAATGCAGGAAAATTGCAAAAAGACCGCACGGAATAATGCCATTGCAGGTTTTCCCCATCATAACCTTGACATGTTAACTGCTGAAGGACAATGTGCTGGTGTAGCAGCACTGATTGCATATGATCCCGCGATTTATGCTCAGATAGCTGCGGCCGTTAAAGCTTGGAAAACTTTACCTAACAAAAGAGCAGGAGAACAGCTTTCTAAGACCCTTCAAGGATCTTCAGAACCTTATTCTGAGTTTATTGACCACCTGCTACAGGTGGGAAGTCGCATTTTTGGGGATGTGGACTCAGCTATGCCAGTCATAAAGCAATTGGCCTATAAAAATGCTAGCTGGGGGACTAGAGAGATGGCTCAGTGGTTAAGAGCATTGCCTACTCTTCCAAAGGTCATGAGTTCAATTCCCGGCAACCACATGGTGGCTCACAACCATCTGTAATGAGGTCTGGTGCCCTCTTCTGGCCTGCAGGCATATATGCAGACAGAATATTGTATACATAAAAAGTAAATAAATAAATATTTTTTAAAAAATGCTAGCCGGGCGGTGGTAGCCCACGCCTTTAATCCCAGCACTCAGGAGGCAGAGGCAGGCAGATCTCTGTGAGTTTGAGGCCAGCCTGGTCTACAAGAGCTAGTTCCAGGACAGGAACCAAAAGCTACAGAGAAACCCTGTCTCGAAAATCCAAAAAAAGAAAAAAAAATGCTAACAGATTTTGTCAAGAGGTTTTACGTCCCCATAGAAATGGAGATTTAAATGACTTTATCCAGTTATGCAGGGACATTGATGGCACTCACATGATGGGTCAGGTAATTGTTTCTGCCCTTAAGGAGGGTCAAGGTGGAGCTAGGTCAAGGATTTGTTTTCAATGCAGAAGGTCAGGACACATCTAAAGAAACTACCCTACAGGTAAAGGGATGGTTAATCATCCCAGAAAAAAAAGCTGATAGGATTTACAACTTGAGACAGAGACTGGTGGAACTCAAGGCCAACATGGTCTACAGAATGAGTTCCTGGAACAGCTAGAGGCAGGACACATAGTGCCATCCACTTCTCCCTGGAATACTCCTATTTTTGTTATTAAGAAAAAGTCTGGTAAATGGAGGCTGCTGCAAGATCTTAGAACAGTAAATGATTGTATGAAAATTATGGGGACAACTCAACCTGGGTTGCCTCAGCCTGTGGGTATTCCTGCAAGATACCATCTTCTAGTTATTGATTGTTTTTTCACCATTCCCTTGCATCCAAAAGACTGATAAATTTGCTTTCAGTGTACCATCTATAAATTTCAAAGAACAATACAGGTGCTACCAATGAGTAACATTGCCCCAGGGCATGGCCAGTAGTCCTGTCATTTGCCAAATGTTTGTAGCCCAGGTTATTGCCCCAATAAGGTACATTCTATTAGCTGGACAGGACCCAGAGATAGTCCTTGAGGCTTTTGCTGACTTGCAAGAATGCCTAGCACATGCTGGGTTAATGATTGCTTCTAAAAAGGTACAATAACAGTTTCCGTATCAATACTTGGGGCGTCAGCTGTTACAAACAGGAGTAAAACCACAGAAAGTTAATCTTCTCTTAGATAAACTTTTATATATGTTATGGTTTTGGTCCCTTTAAGAGACAAGCCACACCCATTCCCCCTCCCCATCCGCTGAGGCAGGCTGATCTTCAGCTTCTGGCCTGAGCTTGTTCACTTTTCCATCTTCCTCTCAGAGAGGCAGCTTCGCTTCTGCCTCTCTCCCCACTTCTCTGCTTCCCCCCTTCTCTGTCTCTTTCTCCTCTTCTCTCTCTCCCTCTCTCTGCCCCCCTTCTCCCTTCCTCCTCCATAACCCCCTGAATAAACATTCAACCTCACCCTGCATGCCGTGTCTATCCATGTTTCTGTCTTCTGTCCGCCCGCCACATGTTGTCTGCTCTGTTAGAGAGCCCGCCATGCCACAACAAAAGCCACACAGGGAAGGGGCAAAAGGCTGGAACCGAAAAACGGCTGTGTATAGTTTTAATGGGGCCATTTATTTGGACAGAGACGGATGAGTGTAAGGCATTAAAGCATGAGGCCGGAGTGATAGGTCTAGATGGCTTGGCTCCCATGGTCAAGGCCGTGCAAACACCCGCAAAAACCGTGGCACCTCAAGCCTACAACGAGAACAGCTCCCTGTTAAGGCAAGATGCAGATGGCACAAACACCCGGGCCCTATGAAAAGGCGTCCGATTCCATGGGGGGGGGCTATAACCTAGCTGAATCGACTCACGGGCAGGAGGGATTCAGCCTAGGTCAGGTCGCACTGTAGCGGCGTGCTGCACCGTAGCAGCAGTTACGATGAAAAGAAGGAAGAAAAAGAATAAAAAAAGAAAAAGAGGGAGGACTGGAGGCCCCGGGCCTCCAGGCGCAGGTGAGCTGAGGGAGCTGGCTTAAGGACACGCCATCCCAGGCACGGGCTTAGCACAGGAGACAAGCCAAATTGAATGCCAGCGAAGGGAACAACCGAGGCCCTGAAAGCCCACGGTTGGAGGTCCCCCCATCCCTAAAAACCGTGAAGGGTTGCTGGGAGCTCAACGGTCAATCCCTTGGGTTAAAAGAGATGGTTAAGCTGGCCGAGATGGGGACACTCACGATTAGTTGATTTGTTGTTTGGAGGAGCTGCATCCAGGCAGATGGAACACGTGGTCGTTGTAGAAAAGGTCCTCAGGTCCTGATTCTGCCCCGAGAGGGAGCTCAGAGTCCCAGCCGGTGCCAAAAGCCGGAACTCCGGCCCCGGGTAGAAGTCCAGGGCGTGCGAATCATCCGAGTCACGGCACCATTTGTTATTCTTAAAAAATATATGGGGGGTTCCCAGCGGCAGTGGGAAGCCACGCGGTGGAACCCCCAATGCAGCGGGCGCATGTGAGCAGACCCATGGAGCCATAAAAGCAGCTGCTAGCCCCGAAGAGATGGTTGTTGGTCCCCAGGGCGGGCTGGCGGAGTCGCCATGAGAAAAGCGGCTACAGCTTCCCACCAGCGGGAGGGCACAAGCCGCGCTGGTGGTGGCGGCGGTAACAGACATATAAACACAGAAAATAGCCATGAACATTTATTAAGAAAGAGGGAAAGAGAAAAAGGAAAAGAGAGAGAGAGAAGAAAGAAAGGAAGAAAAGGAGGGAGAAAGAGGAGGAGAGAGGCAAAGCCTCATGAGTACGCCGGGAGAGAAAACGGAGAGAGAGCGATGGCGGGCGGAGGTCAGAGGTTAAAAAGGAGTGAGCGTGGCTAGGGCAGGGACCGAAAGAATAACTATATATATAAATAAATATATATATATATATATATATATATATATATATATATATTTTTTAATGGTGCAAGGTCCTGGCAGCAGTAGGCAGCAGAAATGCTGTAGGTCCCAAATGGTGGTAGCAGGCCATGTGGTGGCAGACAGCGTGCCCTGCAAGCAGGCAGTCCCAGGCAGAGACAGCTGTTGGTCCCAGAGTGGTGGCCCGAGCGGTGGTGGCGGGCCATGTGGCAGCAGGCAGCAGGCCCTGGGAGCAGCCAGAGATGGCTGCCTGTCCTCGAGCAGTGACTGGTCCCAGGAAGGGAGACACATGGCAGGCTAGCAGGAGACAGAGACATGGGTAGACACGACTTGCAGAGTGAGGTTGAATATTTATTCAGGGGGTTGTGGAGGGGGAAGTGGGGACAGAGAGAAAGAGAGAAGAGGAGAAAGAGACAGAGAAGGGGGGAAGCAGAGAAGTGGGGAGAGAGGCAGAAGCGAAGCCGCCTCTATGAGAGGAAGATGGAAAAGAGAGTGAGCTCAGGCCTGAAGCTGAAGATCAGCCTGCCTCAGGGGATGGGGGAGGGAGTGGGCATGGCTTGTCTCTTAAAGAGACAGGAAACCATAACATAAACTACAAACTTTGAATGATTTTCAAAAATTGCTTGGAGACCTCAATTGGGTCCGGCCCAGTCTGGGAATTCCTACTGGAGTCTTAAAACCACTTTTTTGACATTCTGCAGGGGAATCCAGATCCAACCTCCTTTCGTGAGTTGACACCTGAGGCAAGGCAATGTATTATTTTAATTGAAGAAAAGCTTGCCTCTGCTCATATTCATTATATTGACTATAGTCAGCCGCTGCTGTTGATAATTTTTCCCCATCAGCATAGTCCTACTGGAGTTTTTTGGCAGAAAGAACCCATTCTATGTGTACATGAACATGTGTCACCTGTAAAAATTGTTCCTCTACTTATCAGCCCATCCCATGATAATACAGCCATTGCTGTGGGTGCCAGAGCAGCTAGAGCTGCTGGATTTTTCATTAGTCAATTGCTTCTGCTAGCACAATGGATACCTTCTCAGGACAGGCTGCAAATGCCTTGGCCATTCAAATTGAGCTAAATTTACAAATGAATATTGCAGTTAATTTTGTTATTGGTTTTGGTTGAAGACCACTGCTAGATTATACAGTAAAAGGCTTATTGCTGTTATTCATGGACCCTGGAGTGCACAATTTACAAATTGGCTCTTGAGATTATTCTAGTTAGCTATACCAGGGTTTCTTTCACCAGCGCTGAGACCTTACTTAAAGGGCTCCAATTTGGGCAGACGTATTAAGGATTGAGCAGGCACAGTCTACTTAAGGAGTGCTTATATGTGCTGGAGCATCATCTTCATGTTTTCATGGTGCCAGAACAAAAGGCAAGCTCAGGTCAATTTTGCCATGTGGCAAGTCCTCTTAGCTATTGCCCCAGAGAATCTTTCAGCACAAATCTGGCTGAACTCGGTGATGGGTTATTATTGAGCCAATGACGGGAAAGGTTTTTGGGGGGCTGCCCCAACCTAAGACAGAAAATGTGTTTTGACCTGGATGCTTTCCCATGATGGGTAAGGAATATTGTCTGACGTCCAATGCCACCTAAGACAGGCCTAGTCATATAATATACATAAAAGGGGGATCTGTAGGGCCTGGGTCTACCCTTGTTCCTGGGGTTCATCTTGAGGACAGTTTCTGGTCAGCCAGCTAAAGCATTTTGTTCCTGTGCTCCCCCTGCCCTGCCCGGTGATTAGCTGTAGGGCATTGTTTACTCCATCTTGGGTGTGGCAATTTCCCACCTGCCTGGGGGGAACTCCTTGTGCAGCAGCTAGGTATAAAAGATTTCCCCAAAGTTGAATAGACCCAGGTGTCTGTGTGTTCTTTCAATCTCCAGGCCCTTGCCCAGCTCGCTTGCGATACAGTGGCATGCGAATTGTACCAAGGGGGTAACACAGAATTGGGTGTTACAGGCAAAACAGCAGAGAATGGAGATTTTATTAAAACGCACTATAGTTTGCTTTTTAAATAGTTTATCCTGTTAATCTGTTCAGAACTACCCAACTTTTATTCTTCCAAAATATTTATTTTGATAATTATTATTATCCCAATTTCTTACATAAAGCATTGAGGTCTAAACAATTAAATATTGTCAGGAGCCAATTTCCTCCTAAAATCATTGCAGGAACCATCACCCTGGGGAGTCTGCAGAGAACCCCACACCCCTAATTGTGTTGGGAATTGTTCTATTGACAGAGCCTACTCCACACCCAAATTGACTGTTAATGGAGAGCTATCTGTTAGCGGAACCCACCCCACATTCCAAACTATCTAGAGAACTAGGTGTGTCAACTCGTGACTTCCTCGTGGCTACGTGACCAACACGGACCATGTGACCAACGTGAACCATGCGGCAAGAGCCCAGGCCCCTGTGCCCATCCCCCAACTCCTTACCCTATATAAGCTGTACCCCATCTCTAATAAACTGAGGCTTTGACAAGAACCCCGCTTAGCCTCCTTCCTCTTTCTTAGCCCATTTATCTTCCAGATAGTGCCTCTCCGTGACCCTGGAATAACTGAACTGCCAGGTGGGTTACAACCCCTAGACTAAGTAACCCGCCAAGGCAATCAACAAAATATTATGCCCAAGGTGACAGACTAAGCCATATTATTACCATCAAGTAGAGACTTGGAGTTGTATGAATTCTGAGTTGTTTATAGGAATGGCTAATTGAATTCTGAGTTGTTTATAGGAATACTAACTTGCCTCCTCAAAACTTGTAGTTCTAAAATCAGAAGCACATAGTTGTCACATAAAAAGTGGTCACTTGTCACCTGTAAGCAAAAAAAGAAAATAAAGCTTTACCAAGCAGCTGAAAATGTAGCTCTTTTAGGGACTGTTTTTGAATGACAGGGTAATAGTGTTGCTCTCTTCTTTTCCCCCAAAGATATGGCATGAAAATGAGTGCTGTAGGGGCCTGGTGGTGGTGGCGCACGCCTTTAATCTTAGCACTCGGGAGGCAGAGACAGGAGGATCTCCATGAGTTCGAGGCCAGCCTGGTCTACAAGAGCTAGTTCCGGGACAGGCTCCAAAGCTACAGAGAAGCCCTGTCTCAAAAAAAAAAAAAAAAAAAAAAAGAGAGAGAGAGAGAGAGAGACAGAGACAGAGAGAGAAAAGAAAAAGAGTGCTTTACTGTAAAAATCAGAAAAGATGGGTCTGTGGTTTGGTGTCCAGACCCTGAATTTACGTTCAGTACCTGCTTTTCTGTAGTGTGGGTGATTCTGTGCCGTGTCCGTTTCTCCTGCTTTTTCTATGCTTGCTGTTATTTACAGCTGTGGCCATCAGAATCGTGTTCCTTTTCCCTTCCTCCAACACTGCATTAAATTCCAAGTAGCTCCTTGACTGTGGAATCTGTCTTGAAAGTAAGCGAGCTGTGAGTGACCTGACTTGCCTTGGAAGGGAAAGACTGGTAGGAAGTCAGGGTGCTGCTAAGATGTCTTGTTATCTCTCTCTAGAAGTTGAATACAGCATCAGAATTCTCCCTTCAGATGAACTTAGAAGGGGTGTGTGTGTGTGTGTGTGTGTGTGTGTGTGTGTGTGTGTTGGCTATTTGGATCAACGACACGAAGTTACAATTGTTAATTCTTATGAAGGCTGTACCTAATAATCTTGGCAAGTGGTTCCACAAATGTCTGCTATTTGTATTGCGACGCTTGCAGCCAGTAGCTGCTGACAATGATTTAACGCAGGTGAAGATTAGCACCGACAATCATTATAGCCTGGAAAGTGTACCAAAGTTCACTGCTTTTTCTGTTTTCCTCTTCAGTGTAAGGGCCGGTGTATCAGATGATACTTGAACATTGCTCTCATCGTATTGTGATTAAAGAGACAGTTTAAAGGAGAGGTGAGCCCTGAGGCAGGCCGGTGCTCTCTAACCTGTGAGAGGTCGTTTTTGCTAAGGATTTACTTTAGCTGTGAGACAGCAATGGTTTCATCTGAAAGAGACTGCCCTGCTTCACCTGCGCCCCACCCCCACCCCATCTTGCCAAGTAATGGCGCAGCTGTGGCTCGTTTTAAGAATACAAGGAAGGAGTAAAAGGGGCTAGGGTGAAGGCAGGAACACTCCACCACGTTTCCAACGCCTCCTGGTTGTTCCTAGTCATTTCTCCCTAGTGCCCCCGTGCCTCTCCTACCTGAAGGTGTGATGCCATCGCCTCTAGCCCTGTATCGCTACGCCCATGGCAAGCTGTCACCCTCGGTGGACTCGCGGCCCTGCAGCAGCCCCTTGGTGCTTCCCAGGAAGGCAAGGAAGCTGTTACTGGGGGCCGCTTCTCCTCGGGCCCCGCGGCTGCCACGCCGGCAGGCCTGGTGCTCCATCGACTGGGAACAGGTATGCCTGCTGTACAAGCTGGGCTCCGGAGGGTTTGGGTCGGTGTACAAAGCCACCTACCGTGGTGTTCCCGTGGCCATAAAGGAAGTGAACAAGCGCACCAAGAACCTACGTGCATCCCAGCAGAGTTTCTGGGCTGAACTCAACATTGCAAGGCTGCGCCACGACAACATAGTCGGGGTTGTGGCTGCCAGCACGCGCACGCCCAAAGGCTCCAACAGCCTGGGTACCATAATCATGGAGTTTGGGGGCAATGTCACTCTACACCAAGTCATCTACGGTGCCACCAGCTCTCCAGGAACTCTAAGCTGCAGCAGAGAGCCACTGAGTTTGGGGAAGTGCCTTCAGTATTCCCTAGATATTGTTCGCGGCCTGCTTTTTCTCCACTCACAAAGCATATTGCACTTGGACCTGAAACCAGCGAACATTTTGATCAGTGAGCAGGACATTTGTAAGATTGGCGACTTTGGCTGCTCCCAGAAGCTGCAAGATCAGTGGTGCAGTCAGACGCGCCCTCACCACATAGGAGGCACCTACACGCACCAAGCTCCCGAGCTCCTGACAGGAGAGAGCGCCACGCCCAAAGCAGACATCTACTCTTTCGGTATCACCCTCTGGCAGATGGTCACCAGGGAAGTGCCTTACTCAGGGGAGCCTCTGCAGGTGCTGTACGCCGTGGTGGCCTACAAGCTGCGCCCTTCGCTGGCAGGGGCGGTGTTCACTGCCTCCCCGACGGGGCAGATGCTGCAGAGCATCCTCTGTAGCTGCTGGGAGGCCCGCGCCCTGCAGAGGCCCGGTGCAGAACTGCTCCTGAGGGACCTGAACGCCTTTCGAGCAGCACTGGGCTGACTCCATCCAGCCTGGGCTGAGAGAAGCTTTTTATAAGAAGTAAGAATGGTGTGGTAGAAAACATACCCCTGGGGCATATTTTTGGAAAATAAAGTTACTGAAATGCTTTTCCTGAGACTAACGAGGCTACAGGTCTCACGGACATCACTGCTGGCAGCCTTACCTCCTTTATTGTTCTGTGTCCCCTTTCTGGGCTCCAGGCCTACTGTATCATTTCTGTAATATTACTGTCAGTACGAGTTGTTGCTGAATGAAAGAGGGAGGGAGGGAGGGAGGGAAAGAGAGAGGGGGACACAGCTGCAGCTAGGTATGGTGAAGGAGAAAGTTTATTGTAGATAAAAGGCGACATAGAAATGCAGGAACATCTGGAAGACACAAGAGTGGACATGGCCCTGAGCCATGTGAGAAGGGAAATGATGGGAGAGGGGAACTGGGTGCATTAACCAGGAGACCCCAAAAAGGAAGGAGTAACCAAAATGGCTGGATTATATAGGGAGGGGCAGCTGGAGGAAGGACAGCTGGGTGGGAGGGAGAATTAAGGGTAGAGGGTGGGGTGTGCCAACCAGGAGGGCCCTGTAATAGGCTGGGAGGAACTGAGGGATGCAGGAGAAACCTGGCCTCCAGGTCCACTTGGCTATGTTAAATAGGCACCTCAACCTTTTGTCCTGGATTTGAAACCTAGCAGTTACTGATAAAGAACAATTTTCTGAAACAGAGTGCCACTCTAGACATGCCTCATTGTTCCTGTAAATTAATTCTCTTGTGTCACATCTCCCCCACCTAAATCTGAGCTTCAGTTCACCTGCAACCAAACAACAAAACCAACACTTTTAAAAAGAATGGGTAGTTTTCTCTTCTGGTCCATAATAAAAATGTGTTTTGCAGTCCCTTTTGCATAAGTTTTGCAAATTGAAGTAAATTCTTTTTTCAAGTAATAATCTAAATGGCTTGTAATTGCTCACATTTGAACATGGCCAGGAGCAGAAAAGTTGTAAAAATACTTCTCCACTGGGTGTATTTTGCCTCAGATTTGAATTCCAAAGAATTCAAGTTGCGCCGTGGTTGCAGACAGGAGTCCTGTGAAGAGTCAGGGTTTAGTGATGGGAAGAAAAGACCAGTAAGAGTGTGATTGTATTGTTTTCTAGAAGTTGAAATACTGGGTGTCGTGACTTGATGAGGTTTCTAGAAAAGGAAATGATTGGGACGGTGTTGGCTTTCTCTTAGTGACAACAGTGTCCATGTGTGGAGGGGGACAGACAAATAGAATGGCTGGGAGGGTTGGGGGCCCATGTGGGAAAAAGGCTGTGTGTGCTTCAGAGAGAAAGAAGAGCAGAACGCTGGATGAATCAAGAGAAGGGATGTGTGTGGTGGTTTGGGATGAAGAGGTAAAAATTTATTTGTATATGAAACCTGAGGAGACAAATATAACTGGTGAAATTCTAAAAGTCAAAGAGCAGAAAAGAGCTTCAGGAAGATTGCAGTCTTGGAGAGAAGGGACATCTCTCCCAGGAAAGGAGGCAAGAATGAGGCCGGGCTGCCAGTGGACATGAGGCTGGAAGAGGCGCTCTGGAAACTCAAGGCTCTGGGCTTCCTCTGTCTAGAGTGGTGGGTAGGGAATCTACAGAATGAAATTCTGATACAGAAGTGCTCTTGGGGAAAGCCAAAGGGAGCTGTCTGGGGCCTGGTAGTGTGATATAATGTTGCTAACTCTGTCCAGGTCGCTACAGACTATGGTTTGTCATTTGCTCTGGGCTGCTGCAACACTGTGACAGTCATTCAGTGGAAACTACCCTTCGGGTCTTTTCCTAAGCTATCAGTAGGCAGACTGAACCCACAGACCTCCCCCCACCCCAGGCCCATTGCTAGGCAGCAAGAGCTTGGCTCAGCCTCCAGTTACTGCCATGGCCCACTGTTGCAGTCCTGGTTAAAAGAGCGGAAGGCTGGCTGCACTTTGGGAGTTCTAGGCTGAGAACCAACCACAGATCTGAAAATATTCAGGGGAAAAAAGAATTGTACTAACTTGTACAAACTTTCCCCCTTGTAATTCTCACAACATACTGTAACTGATATTTACGATCCGTTTTATTAGGCATTGCAATCAGTTGGCAGATAATTAAGGAACATAGGGTGTGTAGGTTTATGTGCAAATACAGTAGCATTTTATCTAAGGGACTTGTAAGAGTCCTAGATCTAGGTGTCCCCCCTCCCAAGAACACCGAGAAATGCTGTATTCAACAAATGGAAAAGATTGTCACTACTTTATTATTAGGGAGGGTTTTTTTTAGGTTAGATGATTTTACCCAACTGTAGTCGGGGTTAAGTACGCTGAACCTGTGCATGGTAGGCTATGTGAAGCTGTGATGTTCGGTAGATCAGGTAAATTTTGAGAGTGATGTTTTCAATTCATGATGCCTTATTGGACCTAACACCCATGTAAGTTTTCGGACACCTGTGCTTCCCTCATCAGGGATGCAGCTCACGTAGAGTGTTCTACAATGTGCACGGCCCCAGCCTCAACTTCCTGAAATATAAAACTAATTCATTTAAGATATATTTTTTTCTGTTTATTTTAGCAGAAAAACTATCATTGGAAGTCTTAAATACAAGACATTAAAAAGGCTATAATGAGTCTGTTTTGTTCTACTGTGTTCAAGTGTGATTCTAACTATATGGAATGCCTCATCCTCAGGCTTCCATCTAGCTACACAAGGTATACGTTAAAGGCATGAAACCCTTCTAAAAGGAGCCTGGCCACAGCCGAGGTCCAAATATCTTCCTTTCTGAAAACTACCAGGTAACAAGTGAGCACAGAAGAACCAACTCTATACATTCCATAATTCGTGATCTTATGAGACACAGAGAAGCTCCAGAATGTAGTGAGACTGGACCATTTGCACAGGAGAGTGTAGGGATGAGAGGGAAGGGGACCCACCAGTGATAAGTCCTAGAGACACCAGGAAAACTAGATATCCACAGAACGAGAGCCCCTTGGGAAGTGTGTGTGTGTGTGTGTGTGTGTGTGTGTGTGTGTAAGTCTGAACGTAATTGGCCCCCATAATCCCATAGGGAGTAGCACTGTTAGGAGGTATGGATAGGGATTAACTCTGAGAACTGAACTGAGAGCAGAACCGAGTTCCTGTAAATTGGAAGAGGAAGAAAAGGTGTTACCATGTCCCATCATTAACAGAGCTCAGACGATGGCAGTGAAAGGGCCCCTGAACATGAGAGGGTCACCTTGGGGGCAGGGCAGAGCATTAGAGAGGCTCAGAGGCCACCTGAGCCCCACTTTGTTTGGAGAGCAAAAGCTGTGGCTTCAAAGAGGGACCGTGTAGAAGAAGTGCCATGTTTGCAGGAAGCAGGCAGATGAAGGAAGTCTTTGAGCTTTGGAAGATGTGCTGACTGAGCTTGAGCCTGTGTCTAGGCTGCTCTGCATCCAATAGTCTGGTCAGATGGCAGCGGTGTGTCTGAAAAATCAGCTCAGAATATTTACACAAAGGTCAAGACAGAAAATGAAGACTGAGGGCTGGAGAGATGGCTCAGAGGTTAAGAGCACTGTGACTGCTCGTCCAGAGGTCCTGAGTTCAATTCCCAGCAACCACATGGTGGCTCACAGCCATCTATAATGAGGTCTGGTGCCCTCTTCTGGCATGTAAGCATACATGGAAAGAATGTTGTATACATAATAAATAAATAAATCTTAAAAAAAAAAGAAAAGAAAATGAAGACTGAGTCAGGCTGTGGTAGGAAGAGACACAACCTACCAGTGGTAACCCTTGCTCACAGAAATAGCAAGTAGATAGCATCCAGCAGTAAGATTCAATGCCCTAAATCTAAAGAGAAATAGATAAAGGTAAAAATGTTAGCAAAATCAGAGTGTTTAAAAAACGTATTTGGGCCGGGCGGTGGTGGCGCACGCCTTTAATCCCAGCACTCGGGAGGCAGAGGTAGGCGGATCTCTGTGAGTTTGAGACCAGCCTGGTCTACAGATCTAGTTCCAGGACAAGCTCCAAAACCACAGAGAAACACGGTCTCGAAAAACCAAAAAAAAAAAAAACAAAAAAAAAACGTATTTGGAAGGGTGTTGAACAAGCATCGGGTAGAGGTCAGAGGGCAACATGTGGAAGTTGGTTCTCTCCTTCACAAGTGGGTTTCAGGGCCTGGTTTCATGTGGGTTTCATCGGTGTTGGCTATAAGTGCCATTATGCACTAAGCTATCTCACCAACCCAAAACCTGTCCTTCCTTTTTTATAGTTATTTATTTAGTGTGTGTTGTGCATGCACATGTGTAGTGAGGCAAATTTAAGGAGGTAGTTCTCTCCTTTTACCTTTATACAGGTTCCCAGAATGGAAACTCGGGGCACTAGGCCCTTGGTGGCAAGTGAGGTATCTCATTGTCACAGCTATTATGCAACTGTGCTGAAAAAAAAAAAAAAACAAAACCAAAAAAAAAACTAATTAAAACTCTAGGAATATTGAGAATAGTAATGCAAATAGGTTACTACTAGTGGATAAGTATGAAGGAGTTAGGACCTATCTCAAATAGTAACATGAAAAAAATAAAAGCATTAAACACGCATCAACACTTAGAGAAAACAGAAAACTGAGAAAAAATTTAAAAAAACACAGGAATAAAAGTAAAAAAAGTTAAGCTGTAAAACAAATAAGTTTGTTAAATAAAAGCCAACATGCATACTGCTATGAGAAAAGGTCTACAAAGTAGAGCATACAGATCAAAACAAGATTATTTTTTAAGTTAAGAAAAATGCTGTTTGCTAAATTTTGGAAATAAAACTGAATACCTAGAAGAATTTATGGCTTTCTAGGCAACTTCCCCAAACTAGCCCCCAGCAAACTGGAAGAAACATAGTTATTCAACTTCTGACCAACTTACCCCATAAGACACTCTTGAAAGAGCAGCATTTATACAGAAACCTGATTAAGATTACTTTAAAATAGAAAAAAAAAAAAGAAAGAAAAACCACAAGGGCTAGAGAGATGGCTCACTTAAGACACGAGGCCACAGACAAACTAGTCAAGTTGTCTTTGCATATAACAGATCAGTGAAGAATGCCAGAATATAAATATCAGATGGTCTATGAACCAAAATCAAT